ACTGAAAACAGGGTTCACTGTGGGTTGATAAAAGACGAAGACAACTTAGATAAAACTCTTAAGAAAATTTTGGGAATTAGAGAATATTGAAACTGATATAAACCCAAAAACAAAGATTCTTTAATTTGCGAGAAACATTTTCGTAGAAAATTATATACGGAGATAAAACCGGTAGGTACGTTGTTAAAATGCCATTAAAGGAGGATCCGGAACACTTTAAGGAAGTTCTAAACAAATTGCAACGAGTAAATTAAATTCCTTATGGAAATGCTTAGTAAAGAATCACCGAATACTTAAAATTATATTCAGATTTTTTAAAAGAACTATCAACAGTTAGGAACATATGGTTGAGGTGAGTGAAAGCGAGAAGGAAACGAGGATCATATTACATTCCTCATATTGGAGCACATAGGGGAGAAGAGAAAAGTAAGTCGACTCCCTTGAGGGTATTATTTAACGCTTCTTCTTTGACAACCAAAGGAAACTCTCTAAATTCTATAACAGTATAATGGACCTGTGATACAAGATGATTTATTCTCAATTATGCTGAGATTCAGGAAATATATTTTGCTTTCACTGCTGATATACAAAAGATCTATCGAGCTATTTCTATCCATCCAGATCAATGGAAGTTGCAAAGGATTTTATGGAAAGAAGGCATTGATAAGCCAGTTAAAAACTTTGAGCTAACCACTATTACCTATGGTACTGTGAGTGCACCATTTTTTAGCAATGAGGACACTTGTACAGCTGTCAAAGGATGAAGGAGATAAATTTCCTTTAGCAGCACCTGTACTGAGAGAAGACATGTACATGGACGATATTCTATCTGGAGCTGAGTCGCTAAGTTCTGCGTTAGAACTTCAAAATCAGTTAATAGGCATTTTGAAGAGTGGAGGTATGTTACTCCATAAGTGGTGTAGTAATGCTACTGAACTGTGTCAAACAAACGACAAAACATATCCCTTTGGTAAATCAGAAGAATCTAAAGCATTAGGTATTTTGTGGAAGTCAAAAGGAGATTCTTTGAGCTTCAACGTTAAAATCGAAGACAACGTAAAGGTTACGAAACAAGTGTTATCCGTCATATCTCGCATCTTTGACCCGTTGGGTATCATTTCTCCAGTTATAATTGTAGCAAAAATATTTATGCAGAAATTATGGCTGTTAAAATTGAACTGGAATGATGTTTTGCCAGAAAAGGAAGCTAAAGAATGGAAAGAATTCTCCACTACCTTGCAGCTAATTAACAACATTGAAGTCCCTAGATGTATTTTATTACCGGATAGAATCAAGATTGAATTACATGGTTTCTGTGATGCCTCAGAGGCCGCCTATGGAGCAGTTATCTACTGTAAAACAACATCAGCAACAAACCATACATCAATGAGGTTGGTGTGCAGTAAATCGCGTGTCTCCCCCCTAAAGAAGACTACAACCCCAAGACTTGAGCTTTGCGCAGCAGTGCTATTAGCTAAACTGATGCATCGAGTGAAATCATCGTTAAAATTGGAGCTTACTGCTACTCACCTTTGGACCGATTCTATGATTGTGCTGTCATGGATCAACAAAGAGCCACACCTGCTCAAGACATTTGTCGCAAACCGGATTTCAAAGATACAGGATCTGACTGAAATAGCACAGTGACATCATATCGCTTCTGAAGAAAACCCATCAGATCTCATATCTAGAGGTATGTCTGCCAAAAAACTGCAACTAAGTCAACTGTGGTGGAACGGGCCTGACTTCTTAATGAAGGATGAGTACCCTATAAGAGTTATACCTGAAGCAATTACTGAAAAAGACAGTAATGAACTTAAAAACTTTGCTGATTCTGAACTATCTACATGTTTAGATCTGAATGTGTGAATATTTCATTAATGATTTATTGAATTGCAGTAATAAGTATTTAAAATTAATTCGTATTATAAGTTTTTTGTTTTAGGTTTTACAAGAATTGTAAGCAAGAACAAAAGCAGGTAGGTAATTTACAAGTGGGAGAATTGAGAGCAGCTGAAGAAACTTTAATAAAATTAGTACAGGGTGAGTATTTTATAAATGAGATAAATGATCTTAAAAAATCAGGTATTGTTCCAAGAAATAGTTCTATTAAAAGTCTTAACCTTTTCATTGACAGTAATGGACTGTTGAGAGTTGGAGGTAGATTAAAAAATAGCAATTTAACTTATGAGAAAAAATTTCCTATTATTCTGCCTTCTAAACATAAATTAACAGAGTTAATAGTTAATTATTATCATTTAAAATATTTGCATGTGGGTCCTCAGTCTTTGTTATATCATATAAGACAAAAATTTTGGATTGTAAGTGGTAGAAATGTTTGTAGAAAAATTGTAAAAATTGTATAATATGTTTTAAAGCTAATCCCATTGTAGCTCAGCAAATCATGGGTGATTTACCCAAGGAAAGAATCACAGCTAATCTTACATTCAATTGTACTGGAGTTGACCTCTGTGGCCCATTCTTAATTAAGTACAAAAACCAAAGAAAAGGTATATATCAGAAAGTTTATGTGTGTATATTCATTTGTATGGTTACTAAGGCCATTCATTTAGAGCTGATAACAGATCTAACATCTGAAGCATTAATAGCTACCTTGAAACGTTTCTTTGCACGAAGAGGTAAAAGTTTAACACTATTTAGTGATAACGCTACGAATTTTGTAGGTGCAAATGCAGAATTAAAGAGGTTAAACAAACTAGTGAACGAACAAGATGAGCTTTTAGCTGGTTATCCGAGTTCTGAGAATATCGAATGGAAATTTCTCCCTCCCAGAGCACCTAATTTTGGAGGCCTTTGGGAGGCTGGAGTTAAATCTTTTAAGTACCATTTCAAACGTGTCGTAGGTAATGCAAAATTGACATTTGAACAATTTTTAACAATTATGATTCAGATTGAAGGAATTTTAAATTCCCGACCATTGACACCCTTGTCTTCGGACATTGATGATTTAGAGGTTCTAACAACTGGGCATTTTTTAATTGGTTTAGAGCAATTAATTCGATTCCCTGAGCCAGGATATCACGGAAGTTAACATTAACAGGTTAAAATTGTAGCAACAGATCACAAAACTAGTACAAATTATCTGGAAAAAATGGAACTCCAATTATTTAAGTCATTTACAAAATCGATCTAAATGGCAAAGTTCTAAAAACAATATACAAGTTGGAGACATGGTCTTAATTAAAGATAATTTGCCTTGTTGTAATTGGGCGGTTGGTCGTATAATAGAAGTATTTTATGGTAAAGATGGAAAGGTTCGCGTGTGTAATGTAAAAACTAAAACTGGAACTTTCAAACGACCAATTACCAAATTATGTGTCTTACCAATACAAAAATGAGTATTGTCTTTATAGTTATTGTACAGTATTGAATGTGCTTCACATAAAGTGTCATTATGTAACTGAAATGTTATATTGTATTGCTTTGAGTTGTACGCTAATGTATATGGTAAATGTCTAATTATAATAATGATTTTTATGTAATAGTACCTATTCAAAATTGTTTATGATATACTTGTTTAATTTTTATGCTATATCTTAATTACAATAGTTGAATGCTAAGCATTGCAACGCGGGGGTGGCATGTTCGCGCTGCGCATCTGTAATGTAATCCACGCATGCGCATCTGTAATGTGATGATCAGACGAGTTTGAGAATCGCCATCGACGGTATAAGAGGGCTGGTCACAGCTATGAGTTAATTGTAATTAATTATGAGAATTAATAAAGAATCGAACCAGCGAATTTATTTAGTGTGTGTTATTTGGGACGAGACCCAAACAACTCTACTACCTTAATGATACTGAAAATACAGATAAAATGTCAGAATCTCTTATGTTCACATATATCAAAGACAAAAAGATTACATTACAAACCTCCATATTAATTTAATTAATACGAAAGGTAAACGCACTATACTTTACTGTTTTTTTACTTTAGTGATGCATCACTTTCAATAATTTATTAATTTAAGAAAATCATGTATATATATATCACTAATATGTTTAATATATTTTCTAATATTTGTGATAAGTCTTGAAACATATTAACATCAAATGCCTGGGCACTTTCTTTTCATTTCCTGCAAAACATTTTTAGTGGAAATTTTAAATTATGATGATAATGTGAATATGCAATACTAGTAAATTACCTCGCAAAAATGTTTTTTTATTCAGAATTTACAGATTGCTCGTTATATGAAGATACACTTTCAATCATTACCATTATGCTGATAATTAAATACTTCTTTAAAACTAATTTTATGCAAAAGGACAATAGAAATCATGTGAACAACCTTAACACATTTCCTCATTAATGCAGCAGTCAGATATAAAATGTTCAACAAAATAAACTTAAGCCCTTTGTGAAAAACACATTAAAAAATTAATTAAAAGGATTCCATTCTGAAATTTGCAACTTTTTATTTTTAACTTTAGAAACATGGAGGTAAAAGCATGGTCAGCAATACATTCAGCAGAATGGATAAAGTAAGTTAGTTTACTGATTTAATTTTTGCATTCATTTATAATCTTTTAATAATCAGATCCATGGTTTAGAACATCATCTCTGCTTAAAGTTTTGTATAATTATGTGCAACATAAAAATGCTAATGTGGTATCAAATAAGCATTTCCAATATTTTTCTTCTTAGTAGACACATAAATAATTCAAATTAAAACATTTCAAGGTACCAAACAGCTTTAATTTTGTTGGCAATCTGAAAACACTAAAATATCTACCATGTAACTATTAAAATATTCAAAATTTTAAATGAGGAAAAGCCAAGCATATTATGTAAGTTTTAATACAAATTACTAAATTGTCAAATATGTCCTTAAAAAAAGTAAAATCAACTAAATTTTAATGCAGACAAATAATATAATAAGAACTTTAAAATTTGAGAAAAATTACATTTAACAATATTAAATAAATATCACTAAAATAAATACACAGTAGTAAAGGGTTATAAAAAAATGACAAACTTGTTATACCACCGGTGAGCTCCATACTGCTTCGCTCAGCTTCAATAATACGTTTTTTTTCTTCTAAATCAGCTATTAAATTTTCCTTAAGTTCTATTTTTTTTTCTTCATATTCTTTCTGAGCAGCTTCTTTCTCAAGAAAGTATTCTCGTTCTACTCTCTCTTTCTAAAAGAATTACAAATCACTGTAATTTTTATAAAGCAATAACTTCAAGAAACAAGCTATAACAAAGAGCAATAATAACAGACATTTTTTTTAAAATGGCTGGCACATAAAATGTAAAGAGATTCATCAGTGAAACTAAAAAATTACGGTAACAAGTTAAATAGTCATTCCAGAAGTCAGGATTTGAGAATTAGCCTTAAAAAAATTGTGAAAATGTGTAGGCATTCATAAGAGCTAATGTTTCACAGAATTTTCATTTGAATTTCTTCTTAAATAATCAGGATTAATTTAAATACTGCTTGACTTTTAAATCCCATTTCCTGTATAATAAGACTTATTAATAATTAATCTGACAAATCAATATATGGCTTGGTGATTTACATCATTTGTATATTTCATAATTAATGTATTACCTCATAACTGACTTTTCTGTATCCGATATGGCATAATATGTTATTTTAACTGAAAGATACAGGGCACAATTTCATGGGAATCTGTTGATTCATAATGTTACTATTAACAGCACAATTGTCTATAGATCAAAGAATAATTCTGAATTAATGAATATAAAAATCTGATTTGATTTGAATGCAGAATTATTTTTCTTGCAGACTGAAATTCTTCTCAAAACTAATCTCAGCATGAGGTCTGTACTGAAATTATTGGATTGGTACTGCTTTTCAGCTCCTGTATTAAGACATGCATGTGACAAAGTAATTTGCTTAGCCTAATTATAATGAAGAAGGAAATCAATTACAATGAACTGACTCTTGAATTCTTGTCAAAAGACACCCAACTCTGCAATAAAAAGAGCAATAAATCCAGATTCACTTATGCAGTAAATACAATATTAAAGGTTTGGCAAGAAGATAAAGTTTCCCCCCTCTGCAGTATTTTTCTATATTACTTTGGAATTACTGAAGCTACAAGGATAGTCAAAAGAGAGAAAAAGGAGATAAAAGGTGTGTGTGTGTGGGGGGGGGGAGTACAATAAAACACGTTTCATTTGCTTTATTTGATACAATGATACATAAATATCAAATTACCTATTAAAAAACTTTTTTTTTTCAAGTTTAATTTTATTTTTCATTTACCATCATCAACAGATCTTCACAAAAACAGCAATCTTGCAGATATGAATAATAATACAGGAAAAGACCTTCAGATGGCAAATAAGTAGGATTTGCTTAAAAAATGTTATGCCTGGAGTGAAACTGGAAAAACATAGCATAATGCTCTGCAATTATTCTTGGTCAGGGCTTTAGTTTGATGCCTAGATCTTATATCTATCAAATTTTATTTTGGCATTTTGCATTGAAAACCTTAAAAAGCTATATCATTTTTCAAATTGTTGCCACCAAATATGATTGCCCTGCATTATATTTAAAGAAATTAAATAATGAACAATCCGCATAAATGTATGTATGTTTCTTGCACTTGCACTTTAGGTACTGTGATAAAACAACAGTACCTAGAGCCATAAAATTTTGAATAACGTAATCCTCCACCCGAATATGAGCATTTGAAAGCCCTAACTTGGAATTTGTTTTATCAGCTTTTTCATATTTTGTAAAACTTTAACAAATTTTTGTTTAACAAACTCAAGTATTTAGGTGGGGGAGGGGGGATCATCTCCAGCGTGCGAGACTGTACCGGAAATTCTGAAGGTATACTCTTTTAAAATTATTTTGTGAGATTGCTGTTGAATTGAATCTTATGGTTTAAGTACGAAGAACACAATATTTAGTAAATAATATAGGTAACATACAAAATGCTTTTTAGATTTTATATTACACCCTTTGGGTGTAATATAAAATCTAAAAAGTTTCAGGTTTAAAAAGAAATTTTTTTTACTATTTTTTTATGTTAATGCCCATTGATGTGCTTTTCTCTCCTATGTTCAGGTAAACTGAAGCCTCAGTTGCATACTAGATGCAATCACTCTAATAAAACAGAAAAATGAACAAATCCTACAGCAGATTACCAGAACTTAATGAAAAATGCATTCTAAAGATTACTAGTTAGGATATTGTTCCCAGTAATATTAAATTTTTAATTTGATTTTTCATGCTCTATGAATAAGTGAATAACTTTTATGCATTCACCATAAAATATAATAAAATACCTGAGGGCATTGTAAAAATTTTATTTAGCTTACTTATTACTGAGAAGAAAACTTATATAGGACTTTCTTATATAGCTCTTAAACCATTTAAAAATTTTTTTTTAAACAGAAATAAATTTTAAAAAAATTAATCAGTCCGTAAACAAGTACATCATTCATAATAAATATTATTCCAAAATAGCAAAGAAAGTGTTTAGGCTACTTCTATAATACACAATTACAAAACGTGCTGGCATTTAAATTATACTACTTATTTATTTATTTTTTTTTTAAGGATAAACAAATACATGGCCCGAAATAGGCATTCTAACATTTCTTTAAATTTATTAGGTTTCCCCCTTTTTTGCCTCATAACTCTTGTTTTAATTTTCCTTATTCTAAACAGTGTTTTTTTTTTTTTTTTTTTTTTGCTAATAATCATATATCATTGCTGTGAAATTTAAAGGAAAGGTCTTACCTTTTTCAGTGATTATAATGATAGGTAAACATCATATAACTATTTCATTATGAACAACAGAGACCATAATAACTCCTTATTTTCAAGAAAGCAATTTTGTTCATTACTTATTCTTAAAATAGGAACTTTTTAGTATTTGAGAAACCTAATCTGTTCTTAATATTTACTTCCTGATTTTTTTAAAAGGTTTTTTTTTTTTTTTTACTTTCTCCAACTTATTATTTATTATTCTCTTGACACTCAAGGATTTTCAGGGGCTGAATGGGAATCTGCTGCAATAATAGCTAATGAATGTTTATATTCCTCTAAAAACACTCCTGTGGTTTAAAAAATATGAGGCTTTTTGTTCTTTTTCTTTCTTCTGCTTTCAAGCAGTTGACATAATAACTAACACATTATTAGTCATAGAGCAGTTAGAGCCAATTTTGAATAACAAATTATTAATACTCACTTCAAGTCGAAGAAATACATCATTTAATGATAATCTATTCTCATGATTTATTTCTAACTTTTTTAACCTCTTTAAATATTCAGGGTGTTCACCATCTTCTAATTGTTGCAGCTGTTTTTTCAAATTGGCCAATTTATCTTGATACATCCTATTAAAAAATGGCAAATAAAAAAAGAATTTATAAAGATAAACATTCTGTCAGTCATAGTTTTTTTTAAAAATTTGAATTAAAAAAAAAAAGAAAACTTGTTGTTACATTTACAGACATTATTTTTCTTCTTAAGTGACACTTAAGCACGGACTTGAGTCTACTAACAATTTCAAGCACACCTAAATTTATTTTGCCGTTCACTCTTTGGAAAAGCCTATTAATTTACAACAGAACAGAAAAATGCTGACAACACTTTATTCAGATGTTAGTTTATTACATTCCATGTATATAAATCTTTTGAATCTGAGGGCAAACTTCTAAAATTACTTGTTAATAATTATATACAGGGTGTTTCATAGATCATGTGACAAATTTGGAGGGGTGGTGGAGCATACTAAAACATGCATTTTTTTATAGGAATGTAGGGTCTAAAGTGATGGGTTAAGGCTGGAAGGCAAAAAAAATAACACGAGAGGAAAATGTGTTTATGTACAAAATCAACGCAAAGTGCTTCTTTGTAGCAATACAGTATTCACAATAAATGTTCAAAATTGCGACCACCAGCAGTAATATATGCTTGGTAACGTCACAGAAGGGATTGATGAACATTTTGAAAAACGGCAGGCATTTTGCGCACGCTTGCAGCCAATGGATAGTCATGCAATGAGGTCCTCCAGCGAGTCAACGGAAGTCTCGTAAATGATGCTCTTCAGATGGCCCCATAAAAAAAATCCAAGCTGGATAAATCTGGCGAATGGGAAGGTCATCGAACGGGTCCACCGCAGCCAATCCATTGGCCTGGAAATGTCCCATACAAGTAATTGCATACCCGCACGTTGTTATGGGCCTGGCGTAACCATGTCATGCATGCGAACCACGAATGCGACAGCCAGAACATCCTGCAGCAATTCTGGCAGCACCTCTTGCAGAAAAATATGATAACATAAGCCATTTGTATGTGCAGGTAAGAGGTATGGGCCTATGAGGTAGTCGTTAACAATACCCACACACACATTCACGGAGAAGCGGGTTTGGAATGCATATGGACGTGTGCCGTGTGGATTACGAGTTGCCCACATGTGCATGTTGTGGCTATTGAAGATGCCGTCCTGTGAGAAAGCACATCCGATGGGAAATTCGCCTGTGCCGCAAACTGCTGCAAGAACCAATGACAAATGAACTCAAAGAGGATAATCTGTCTCTTGCAAGGCTTGGACTCTCTGCAAATGGTATGGGTACAAACCATTTTCATGCAATACTCTCCAAATGGTGGAATGACTTAGCTGCAGACGACGTGCGATGGCTCTTGTACTTGTCTGAGGTGATTCATGCACAATGCTCAAGATGGATTCTTCAATGCGAGGTTGTCGTGCACTTATATATTCTTCCACTCCTAGTGTCAGAGGTGGCTTCAAATGACCCGTTTTCACAAAGAGACCGATGCAACCTCTCGAACATTGTGTGCTTCGGCATACGCCTGTTCGGAAACCGCTCCTGGTACAACCGTAGCACTGCTCTGCCATTTCCATTAGCAGTACCATACATGAGATGCATGCCAGCTTTTTCCCCTGTGTAAACTCACCCATCACGTTCGATATCAGAGTTGCCAATGATCCTCTGATGCAACAGATTGTGGTTTGTCCGGCTCACTACCGCCCTCTACAGCTACATTGTCAGCCAATCACAGCTGTAGTTCCTATTACCGTTAGTGTTCCCTTTTTGAACATTTATTTTGAATACTGTATTGCTGCAAAGAAGCACTTTGTGTTGATTTTGTACATAAACACATTTTCCTCTTTTTTTTTTTTTTTTTTTTTTGCATTCCTGCCTTAACCCGTCACTTTAGACGCTACATTCCTATACAAAAAATGCATGTTTTAGTACGCTCCACCACCCCTCCAGGTTTGTCCCATGATCTATGAAACACTCTGTATATAATAAGAATAGTTCCTTATGTTTAAATACGTAGCAAAAGTTCCCATTACACATAACATAAAATATATATATTTCAAGTCTTTTACTATTTATTTACTTATTTTTGAGCACAGTTAAAAAATTTCATATATATATATATAAAAAAAAAAAAAAAAAAAAAAAAATTAAAGAGGTATTCAAACTTTCCTAAAGTTTAATATACACCATATTTAAAGACATCCAAAATAATATCAATTCTTAGTAAGTAGTAGCTTATTTATTATGAACTTAAAGTGGTTATTCTTAAAAAAATGAAGGGTAAAAATTTACTCTATGGTATTCCTTGGCGAATCGTTTCTTTTTTGATGCCATATAAATTCACAAAAATAAGAGTAAAAAATATCCTCCGACATTTAACCATACACATTTCCTTCATACAAAGAGGACACTTATAATGGTTACTAAGTAAATCTTTCATTCACACATCAGTCAATTAATGCTTTTTTCTCTTTTGTTCCAAATCGTACAGAAACTTTAAATTAATCTTACTACATTAAGCCATTTTATCATATAAACCACAAAATAACAACATACTTCTTAACCAACATTCAACACACAAATAAGCCTTTACAAATCTTTTTCCATCATTCAAATTCACTGCAATCACGCAACCAATTATGTCATAATACGGTTACCATGCCATTTAACTACTCAGGTTACCATAAATGAAACAACAACTTGGTGATAAATGAAACAACTTAGCAATAATCCATGGGGCACCCTTTTAAATCTACTTTATTATGGATGTCAATTATGCAGCAGATACAAAAATGATTAAGAACTCCTATATGTACTTAAATGAAATTACTTAAAACAAGTGACATACCTTATGAATTTCATTATCATATAATATGAAAAGTTTGTCATATTCATCATTCATTATATCTTCAGGCACATCATCGGATTCTCTTTCATTTTCACCATCACTACTACTCAAATATATAAATAATCATCTTTCATTCCATCTAGACTGTTATATATATATATATATTATTTTTTTAAAATGACTTTTGATATATGTTAGGTTTAATTTCATTCCATACTTTTATTATCCACTTTTATACTATTTCTAAACTGGCATGAAGCATTTGGCCTCCTTTTCTAAATGTTTTTCTCCTTCTAACATCTATGCATTCCCTGTTGTTTTAAATTTCCTTTGAGTGGTTTATTGATATACACACATCTAAAGCTAATGGTGTTAATCTACTTGGAATAACTGCCATGTCTGTATTATACTCTTTCATCAATTTCTTTGTATTATCCATCCGATGGGACTTGAACATATCCCAAACTAAAGGATTTTCTAGATTCTTTAAAGCAACAGGACAGTTTTGCCAAATCTTATCCACAATTGTACTCTGTTTTCATCCATCCATCCTTACTCGTTAGTATGAATGAAAATACCATTTGGGAAATTATTTGTCATTCTTTTAAAAATAACCATGAGTTTTAATTTTTAATCCTAAGTGGGAAAGCACTACAATGAGGTGAGATTTTTTTGTTTATCTGATTCAGTTTTGTTCTTTTCTAATCAATTTTATTTTCTGTCATAAACATTACTAAAGTTTCATCTATATTTTTATATCTGGCAGTAAATAATTGTTTTGCCTTTGCAGGTCAATAATATACTTCTGGAAACTTATCAGTTTGTTGTCAAAAATCTTCCGAAAGCCTCTGCGAAGCTTTTGTGTTTTGTCGTAAAACTAAATTATTTCTGTGCCATAAATCAAGTATACCAACTCAAAGCTAATTTAAACTTTTCACTTACACTCGCATTAGCTTATGCCTTCTTAAGGCAAATAAATGGGTGCTATTTATTGTTATAATTAATGTATTCTGGTGATTTCCAGTTAGCAGCACTTTCTTCTAGGATGTGCCATTTTGTTACTTCTTTACGCAAAGCACACTTATTGTTTGATATATTAATTATTGCGATTTCCATTTTCTTCCATATGTGTATCTATATTTTGAACTCCCGCCCTGTTCAATGAAGAACAGTACAGGGATTCCACTCATGTATGGAGCTTTCACCAACACCATATTTTCTGCAGCACAATTCCCATTTTCTTTTGCATGGCTTTGCACTTGAAACCAGCAATATGTTTATGTTTGTTTTGTTTGCAGGAACCATATGTACTACAAAAGGGAACACTCAATAAACTGCATTTCAACAATAGCAAATATGATTTAATTAAAAGTCCTCGATATTCACTTAAATTACTGCAACAAACACCTTCGATTCATAATTCTGCGAATTCCATTCACGTCAGAAGTGTATACTTACCTCATACTCTGGCACTCCCTCTTAGTCGATAATCTTGAATAAGATTCTTGTGCCCATTTGCAGTGAATACAACCTACCATGTTTGCAGAACTATTTATTCTCTCAAACATTTTACCCTAATGCATATTGTTCCCCTTATTGCTTGTCAATTCAGTATACTATCATTTGAAAGCTTGGAATGATGTCAAAAGATAAAAACATTGCACATATACAATTCAGGTTTCTCCATGAAAAGAGGGTGTGTGTTATATGGAGAATATACCTAAAAATTAAAAAAGAAAAGTGGTTGGAAATTGCAGGTGAACATTATACACCAGAATAAACGGTAAATACCAGAATGATAGTTTCTCAGCTAAAAATGCAGATTTCAATTTATTTATACTATGCTAGCTTCTAATGTCCATACATTAACTTTATATGATAGGAGTATATGTAACAAAATATTAAACAGTAAAACCTTGGGAAATGCGATTTTGGGTATATGCAGTATCTTAAATGTCTGCATTTAATTTGTCCATTGTGAGGATTTAAAGCATATGTAATATGCTGCTGAGCATCAGTCACATCAGTACTGTTCTCTTTAATGACTGGTTTGAAAATTCATTCACTAAAGAAATTAAACATATCTTAAAACAGCAAACCCATGCTTTAATATTCTCTTAATTCTCAGTTATGCTCTAGGACACAATACTGAAACCCTCACAATACTGTATCCAAATGTACAGATTTTATTGCTTCCTAATCCAATCAATGTATCATGCAATCATAAGAAGACTCGAAGCCTAATATGTCAGGCATGTTTACAAGTCCACAAAATAAAGTACTACATGAAGGAAAGCACAACATGCTAATGACATTTTAGCAGCAATTCAACATTAGATACTGCATAGAAATGATTCAATTTGCATGGGAGTATGCGAATTCATCAGCAACAAATGTTTGCTGGACAGAAGTTGCCAATAATGTTACAGTTTCCACTGACTGAAAATGAAGCTAAGAAAACCACATAGATTGCAAAAGTAACAGGCAGTGAAAATTTTTTAGATATGGAAGAAGAAGAGATCAAAGAGTTAGTCGAGAATGATGACGATGACCTCATAACATCAGCTGACAGTCAAAGCAGCAACAGTGAAGAGCTTTTAACATACAAGAAGTTAAATGAATTGTTTAAAAAAGGCAAAGGAAATGTCTGAACATGTAATGGAGACTGATTCAAATCAAGGTAGAAGAAGACACTTTATGAGAGGCATTGAAAAACTTCGCTCTTCTCACTGCAAAATATTTAATGAGTTGTACGTGGCATTGTTCCAAGCAAAAATCGACAGCTATTTAAAAATTTAATGGCATCATATACCTAGTTATTAGGTATTCATATACATCATATACCATATTTTGCCCATGCAATATAGTGGTTAGGGAGCCAAAGGGCTAGGGTTCAAATCCCGGAGAAGACATGGTTATAACCATCCGTCCCTTTATACGAAGCAATGGTGACCGCCTATTGGGTGCCTCCACAATAAAATGGCCACCACTTCTGGCCTATTAGAAGTGGTCAATGTTGAATAGGCAAGTGCCTGCCATTGGGGGGAGGACTTATTAAGCAGCAATGAAATTCTTTCAATTGAGAGTTTTGTTTCATTTTCCCCTTTTAATTACAATAATATTTAGGTTTGTATAAATTATACATACTTTCTTTATCTGAACTACACCTAACTCATTTTTCTGTAGAAAGTTAAGGATTAAGTGGCAGATTACAAGTCTTCATAGAAAAAGAGCTTGTTGAGACTACATTGAAAATAAACTAAAAAACAATATTCTGCTGAATAAATTAGATTATTTAGATGTGCATATTTATTTAGTAAAATACGTGCTTGCTTCAAGTAATCTTCCTTCTGGAGATGTTTTGAGATGTAAGTATGAACCACTTTGTACATATTCCAAGAATGAAATAATAACTAAGTCAGGAAGTGTAGTGGGCAATAAAATATGTATTTGGAGTCTTATTGATAACTAACTACTGATTCAGAAACAAAGCCATAATCTTTTTTGGAAAGAGCAATTTTTTTTTAGATGCAGTTAATTTTTCTTTGTTCTTTAGCAAAAGTTGACACATTAGAGGACTATGAAACAGAATACCACTCTCAAGTCTAATATCAGATTCTGTATGCTATGTGCTTCAACTAACTGAAAATATTTGTTGGTGATTATACTTTGCACTACAAATGCTGGACAAATAAAATAATTTTTGGAGGCTGCATATTTATAAAAGAATTGAAACAAAAGCAGTTTTTTTTTTTTTGGCCAGCAAAGCAAATAAATAAATAAAATGAGTGCACTTAAAAGAAAAGACACCTAATGGGCAGTGAGTTTTTATCCTGAAAATATCATAACCAGATGGAATTCTTGGTTGGAAGCTGTCATTTACCTGACTGCACATATACAGCATATTATTGCTTTTTGCAATGATTATGAGGATGAACAATTTGAGTATTGATTTCCTAAAGGAATATTTTGAAAATGAAATTCTATCACTTAAAATAGAAGTTCAAAAGCTGATACTTCTGAATTCTGTCCAAAAACTAGGAAAACTGATTTAGAATTTTAGAGGGATCAAATTATGTGTTCATTTGTATCTTGTACAATAAAATCATTTAAAGTGTTCCCTGGAATACGTGAGTGCTCGCTTTTTTGGAGATAAGACGGAATGTACTTTGACAAATGCTGAAGTTCCTCAGAAGCACACAATGATGTTGATAGCAGCAACAGAGATGAGTTTAAAAGAACTGACTCTACACATGCTATTCAATACAAGAAAGAGCTTTAAGAATATTTTCAGATTATTTTATCTACCTGTAGCCAAAAGCATTCTTTTATCAGCTTTCAAGCCAAGCTTACTATTGGAAAGCTTCTCAGTAAATTCCAATATTAAAGACATTCCTAAAGACGAGCTCATTTATTGACACAATAATTTTCATACATAACTTCTTACAGAAGTCAATCAAAACACTCAGCTTGATATCACATATTTTTAGAGCAATAATATTCTATCACAAAAATATTGCAGAGGTAGCTATTCAAAGTGTTCATAGTGCTGTTGGTAGTGAGGATATAACAAAATTTAGCATACCATCAAAGTCCTGGACAGAAAACACTGAGACTACAGCAGTGTTAATTTTCAATTATCCCTTCCCCATATTATTGCAATAATTTATATGATTACAGTAGATTAAAAAAAAGGCCCACCCTTAAATTTATTTGAATAATTTTTTTTTTTGTATTTTTCTCTTATTGGGGGGGGACCGGATTCAGAAATGTATGGATGTATGTATTCATGTATGAATATATACATATGTAATTATGTGTATGCATATACAGACATACACATGTGCATACATACATTTCTTAATCCGGTCCCAATAACAGAAGAGTAACCTTTTTTTTTTAATGTCAAAATTACATATCCTTACTAATAAATAATTAAATAAACCAAACAAATGGTATGAAATTCTTATCCAATTCCTTAACATCATCATTTGACACCATTGATAATGAATTTCATACGTTTAGATGGCTTCTAAATAGAACATTGCACAAAATAGAATTACAGAAATATGAGTATCCAGTAAATAATTTTCTCTTTTTATCAAGGGCCACTCACAACAAAACAGTTCTACATGGAGAAGGAAATTCAGCTGAATTGACACTGACCAGATTTTGTTAGGTACAGTAATGTGATTATATCTGAATCTAACTTATTAGTTTTGCCTCTTTTCTCGCTCTCCATTCTTAAAATTTTAAAATGTAGGAGGGGGGATTCATAAAACTTACTGTTCTTTAATTTCTGTATATTCTTCTTCCTGTTTAACCATATCAGTTTCACTTGCATCTTCAGTATCTGTACACACAAAAAAATGAGATTTGTAATTAAAGGAATGATAGAACAACTAAGATACTAATTTATAACAAATAAAAAATATTACTAATTTTACAGCTCCTAAAGATAAAAATACAAATGCATACATAAACTCCCGTAAAAGAGTTATACTTATGACATTTAAAATCATAATGATATATGCTAACTGATTAGGCTAAGGATTAGAATGTTACTAGCAAGCATTAGACAAAAATTAAACTAAGACACTACTTAATATGCCTTGAAAATTTCCTCCTACTGATTTTGTAGTCTTTAGAAGTACGGAATATCGTAAATAAAACTATGTTTTATTTGTCAGTATCTGACTTTTTAATATGAAAGCTCTATTTGTGATTGACTCTGAAATGTTTATATATTGCTGTTTCCAACTCTTTAGCTCAGATTTAAAGCAACTAATACCCTATGGATTCTTCAACTGAATGATCAGACTTGTTAATATCATGATAGATTCATGCAGAATACCATTTGCTAAATTTTTACATAGAGTAAACAACTCTGTGTAAAAATTTAGCAACACATTTCAACAATCAAATTTAGATTCTTCAGAAGGGAAGGGGGCAGAAAGACTTTTTTATTGATACAACCCAAACTACATATATATACAGTAAGAAATTTAGAACTAATATTTCACAATGACCAGAAATTGGAATTCAGATTAAATTTCATGAATTTTTGAAATGGGGTTTTGCTTATTTGAAAAGTTTTGGTTTTAACATTTTCAAAGTCTTTGTTGCATTTATATGATTATTAGAAATTTATTAATTATGAATTTCAATTTCTCATTTTGATGAAATATTAGTTCTAAATTTTTTACTTTATGTATTTAATGATAATTTTTCTGCCGCTTAATGCATGAAAATACTAGGTAAGTTTATATTTTGTTTTCAAAAGAATTCTTTGTAATTATATATATGTAATAATAATTTATAATAAAAAATTGCAGCTATAGTGCAAGTCATAAGCTTTTTAATTTACTTTTATTTTGAATATATTCATGTTGACGTTAAGTATAATTAGACATTTAAAGCCATGTCTCACATTGTTTATTTTGAATATGGTTAAGTAGGCGACCTTTTAATACCTCATCAATACTAATAGACGCAACATCATAAATATTACCCAACAGATAAACACCTAATAATCATAAATCATCACCTAATAGTATAAATATTATTTAATAGTTAAATACCCAGTTTTCTATACTAGTATATATCTTGAATAACCCGATTACACATTTTATATTACATGTAATGTCTGATATTCCCTCCCCCTCTCATTTTCATATTCAAAGCAAAGATGCAAACAGCTCCCTATAGCAAGTGATTGCCACAAATAATGATTTACTTAGGATTTGTGCAGTAGAGAGGTAACTACACAATAGCCACAGGTGTGGTACTACAGAATATATGCCACAACTGCATTATAAGGGAGAAGTGCACTTTGGTCTTTTAAAGACAATCATATTAATTAAAAACATAACTTTGTAAATAATAACTCTATACCTTTCATGTGAAGTTATATGTTATGTAAAATTCAACTAATATTTGTGGTGAAAAGTTCTAAAGTGCCTACCTCCTGATATGAGAGAAGATCAACATGAACAGTTAGTACACTGCATATATCATAATACTTTTCTATTTAACAATTGTATGTGACTTTATGTTTTTACATTCTTATTTTACAGGAAATACCCATGCTTAATTTTTTTTTTTCCCTAAAGATTGTAAAAATATGAAAGGAAAAACAATATTTTTATTCTCATGCTAGAGAAGAACATGATATTTTATTTTTAAGTGCCTCTGAAAAATATTTAACGGCAATATTTATAATATAACAAACAATGATTGCATTGACCAGTGAGTAAAAAACAAAAACTTCAGTTAGAAGACATGAATATGTGTATACAATGGTGTATCCATTTAAATATATAGCTTGGATTATGCTGCAGCTTCAGTTTATCAGTAGCAGGTAAAGCTGGTAAGATGGATAAAAAATTTCAGAATAATGGACAGATATTAAGGTTTTACCAGATGTGCAAATCTACCACTACTTCAAGGTTTATTTTGCACTTGATAACGGAGCCTGCTTCAAAAATCAAATTTTTTTCCCCATCTTCTGTATGAGTATCTTTGAATATAAAAGAGAACACAGAATCAAATTTCTATTATAAATCTGGCGACAACTCTAAAATATTTATGTACTTTAATAATTTATATAAAAAATTTGGGTGACCTTTCTTGTAAAATTTTTTTCTTAGATAATTCCAAAGCTCTTGATGGAGATGGAATAAAACCGGTTTTAAATCTGCTATCGTATCATTTGTTCCTGAAATCTAATACATAAAGCATCATCTATTAATTTCTTAACTTTTATTTTACTTTGTGCATTTCTATTTCAGTTTCCTTTAATTTAACAGCATGCCTTTGTTTTAAGTACTCCCCCCCCCTAAAAATCAGGAATTTTCTCCCAGAATATCAGCATGAAGTTTTCAAATAGAACAGTGGACTTGGATTATAAATAAAAGAGTAGAATAGTATAAGGTTTCTTTGTATGTGTTATTTGTGTCAAGCTAAACTACTAGTTTTAGATATTTTATTGAAAACTTGGCTGATTAAATCAGAAATTATCTGTTGTTTTCTATTCAATATGCACATATTCAGACATGCATATATTTCTTAACCCAATTCCAATAATATACCTTTTTTTAATGTGAAAATTACATATCCCTACTAATAAACCAAACAACTGGTCTGACATTTTCATCCAATTCTAATAATTTGACACCAATGATAATGAATTTCATATTACCTTTTTTAATAGTATCAGCTTCTTAGTGTTATCTGAAATGCACTTATACCTGTTGATATATTTTAAACATATTTCAAAGAAATTTTAGATTACTTCTTTCTCAAAAGAGAAAAGAAAAATGCCAAAGAAAACATGAAATCTAACAAAGCAACAACCCTGTGTTTGGCATAAATTATAGCCAAGACTTGATTTTGAGGGCAAACAGGTACATGTCCCTATTCATCTGCAGAAACAAAGGGAAAGCTACATTTGCATTTATAATGAAAAGAAGTAACGTAAATGAGAAGGTAGCGCTATCTGATGGCAAAAATGAAATAGTTAAAAAAAAAATGAAAAATTAAGTTAATAGAATTTTAAAAGTGTTGAAAAAGACTGGATTAAAATAAAAAATCATTAACTAAACAAGATGAATTTTTGTGAATGTGAAAATCTTCCTGAAAATCAATTCACCAATGGAACAAGCTTTTTGGATAATTTTTGCAGACTTGGTCAAGATTGTGATTAAAGATTAGCTACTGAAGACATTAATTTTGCCTTTTCGGACATAAGATTTACATTCCTTGATGCGAATCTTTAACATTTTTATACTTTAACTAATATATCTCAAACCACACTGATAAGGTATGCTATGAACTCTTCAAGAATTAAAGTCAGAAACAGAAGTTTTAAGAATCGAGCCATGGATAAGAATGATAGGCTAGAAAATGGCTTAAGAATTGAAATTCCAGAGAATTCGCACTATTTTATAACTGACAGAAGGATGAAATGGAAGCATGACATGTTTACGAACTTTATTTCTAATAGTGGGATGTCTTGTTTGAACGCAAAATGAAAATTAAAGGATTTATCAATGTCCATTTGAGAAAATTTTTGGTTAAAATCCTAGTACAGTACAAAGTCCATAATCCAGACTCGTCGGCAATTCCAGATTATAGATCATCAATTTAAATCTGGGAAGATTTCATGCAGAAATTATGCAATTAAAAATATGAAACCATAATTTATTAAATAAAGAGCAATTATGATCTAAAGGGTGTCAAAATTTACAAAAAAGAAGTTTAATATTTATTTTTTTTACTTTAGTAAACATTTCTATTAATGTAAGTTGTTTAAGTTGGCTTCGTTTTTGTGCTAATACTTTCTCTTTAATTCTATAAAAGAAATAAATTTGTCAGTTACAAAGTCCACGTTCAAGTTTTGTGCTGTGTCGAGAATATCAACTAAATTGTCAATCAAACTTTTTCGTTTTCAATACCTCTCTGTTAATTCTTACTTCGGAAACGTTTTTCCGTCGGTTAATTGATTGAGATTGGGGCATGTGTCACAAATGAAAAACTTCTGTTATATATCTCATTTATAACCGCTTCCACATTTCTTTACAAAATCCAATAACTGGAAATTTCACTTTAGTTGAATGTCCGAAAACCTTCAATCACGGCTATCATTTCATGTTCTCCCATGAAATATGGTA